ATTGTAAGGACTTTTTCTTTTTTTTCTTTTAATTATTAGAGGAAACAGAGATTGGTTTGAGAAGAGGTTTGAAGAGGAAGTTGAAAGAGGAGTTGAATATTTCTGGGAAAAGAAGAGGGAGACAATTGTGATTTGACGAGAATGGAACGATTTCGAAAAAATTGGAAAGAAAAGAGTAAAAGGTGAAAAGCGGTGAAAAGTAATTTGGGTGTTGGTTTGGAACGGATTAAGAAGCGGTTCGAAGAAGCTCGAGTATTTTTGAAAAAATTTGAAAAAGAGAAAAGAGAAAGCGAGATAAGTGGTCAGGTTTCTGTGGCAGGATTGGAGGAGAGAAGTTCGAAGCGAAGTTTGAACAGCTCGTCGGGGAAATTTCGAAGCTTGTTGAATTATTGTCGAAATATCGAAATTGTGTAACACGGACAGGAATGGCCCTGATATTTTTCCATACTCTCTTGTTCGCATAAAAAAAAAAAAAACCCTCAAACTGTTCTAACTTACGCCAATAATAAATAAGCGAGAAATATTAAAGACCATCTGTATCACGCTCTATAACACGCTCTCAAATTCCTCGAAACCGACTCGCGTCAACCTATCAAAGAGAACGTCGTGTAACCTGCAAAACTCTGTCCAACTCTTTCAATCACGTTCCAATCCAATGATATACCTCGCGGCCACCTCGATCAACCGCTAAACGTCGACGCGCTAACAAGAATATTCGCCCGGCCCGACGTGTATAATTCTGTTACGCCTGCCTGCCTGCCTGTTACGCGCCTGAAAAATCCACCCGTAATTCACGCGGTTGTCCCGGAAATTGTTATTTATTTTCGCCGATCGAGATCGAATCGTTCTCGAAAGAGGGAGGAAAACCGGGCGAGAAACGCTGCGCCATTCGCGGCGATAAAGTAATCCTCGTCGCGAGGGGATCGGGGACGGTTAAACGCGATAGAGCTTTTAATCGGGCCCCGATTCCTCGGCGAACAAAATATTTACGTTCCCTCCAGCTACGTCCATCTCTGTTCTCGGAAATTTCGGAAGGAAGATCGGAAAGATGAAGTTGGACGAACGTGGCGAAGAAGGGATCTTGTCTTGTTTCGAGGAAGGAGACGAGAGGTCGGTGGAATTTTCGAGGATGGAGCACATTTTTGCGAGATGAGTTTTTGCAAGAAGAAGAAGGTATTGTAGAAGAAGGCTCGTTAAAATTGAGTGGAGCGGGGGAAAAAATTCGTGTTATACGAAGTTAAGAAATTCGTATCGTGTAATATATTTTCTGAGACTATGGACGAATATATATATATATATGTATTTATAGATGGAATTAACATAATGTTTACCACGAAAATTGAAAAAGAAGAAGATTGGTGGAACAACGAGTTGATAAAATTCGATCGAAAAATAAATCCCTTCCTCGTTAACGATTCGCAGTGAAAATAATTTACGCGCAACTGCGTTGCGAACTGTCTGGTAAAATAAATCTGGTAAAATATATCTATTCCTCGCGATATGAATTTCGCGGGTCAATTCCTTTCTTTGAACGGTGGATAATCGGAGTTGAGAAAATAATCGATTCGGAAAGGAGATTCGAGAATGGATGAAAGTCGTTCGGGAATCTTGTTGGTGATCGGTTTTGTATCGGTTTCGATTAAAGCTCAATTTCGTTGGGAAAAAATAAGAGGGGCGGGGGGGAGGGAGGGGAAGGGAAATAAGGAAAGGACGTGGCGTGCGTTTTACATCCACCTCGTTTCGCCCGCGAGTTGCCCACGAGTTAATGCATCGGTTCAATTAGCGACCATCGCGGTGACACGGAACAATCAATTACGTTTGTTTACAAGGTGTACCCGTTAACGGCGCACCCATTCACCAGTCGTTTAAAACGGAATTAACATTCCTCGAAGATGAACGCCGGTTTCGCTGATCGTACATTTTGCTCGACACAGCTTCGAACCGTAAGTCGTAAGTCGGCGGGACGAAATCGTTCCTCCTCGAAATCACCTCGAAGTCCCTCCACCACCACATTTCGCGTGGAAGAGAACGAAATTTCGATTCTTTGTTCGAAAAATTACGATTAGGTAATATTTTCCCTATCATCGTACGAGATACGAATGTATGCGTGTGTATACGACTCGATAACCCGTGGAAATTTATTAAACGTGAAGTGTAAGAAGATAATTTTGAGATACGAGATATTTGCTCCGGCGTTCAACTTCACTTCTGTGGAACATCGTTTTATCGTTTTCTTTTTTTTTTTTTTTTCTTTTTCATTCGAAGTAAACAATATAAAGACGTTCATTCATATTTTTTTACTTGGAAAAAGAATTTGCATATTCGTGTTTCTGGCACGAAAGAAGAAATATATATATATATATATATAAGAACTTCACGAAAAATCATGGTCGGAACACGCAGCGCGATAATTTTTTTCATCGAAACCAATCTCGAGCAACGCGATAATGACTTCTTCTTGAAAAAAAAAAAAAAAAAAGAAAAAAATAATTAATTCTGACGATTCAACTTCTCGAAGAATTTCCAAAAACGAGGAAACCGTATCTTAACTCTATTCGCCTTAACCAATTTGCTAATTCTACCAAATCTACACTCATCCACCTTTACATCTATCTTACATTGAAACATTCACACGTATACCTTCGAAATTTATGTCATCCGTGGCGATCGCGCGATAAAATCTCGCCTCTGAATCGAAGAAAAAAATTCGCGTATCAAAATACTCGTGCGTTTCGACGGCCTCTCGACGGGCAAAAGAAAAATGCACGATCCTTTTAGCCGATCAGAATCTCCAACCCCTTTCACAGGGGAATCAATTAAACGAGCCAGGGGCGCGACTCGGTTTCGCGTGTCGCGATCCATTACGCGGGTGACACCCGAAAAATTCACCTCGGTTTCGCGGCGATCCGTCAAACAGCACGGCGTGTACGCGAGCAGACCTGTCTGTCGTCGAAACCGGGTTTTTCTCTTTTCTTTTTCTTTTTTTTTTTCTTCTTCTTCTTCTTCTGTTCGTGCGACGATCTACAACGTCGCATGAAATCCATGGAACCCGTTCCACGCTCGGCCGACGAATATATCAGCCGGCTGTTGCCGATAAGCGTCGGACTCGTCCACGACTCGCCAATATTCCAATTACGGAATCCAAGGCAATAAAATCGTTGGATCGAATTATCCGGCTAGGATTTGTACCCATTAACGGCTACAAGGTACCGAGAACCGCCATCGGGCGGCACCCTTATCCCCTGCGACGCGAGATTTTAATTAGAGAGGATTTAAAACTGAAGGAAGGCTGAATGAAACCACGGGCGAACGTGGTGGATCGATCTATTGGTTCGAGCAGAGCAGTAAGTAAGAGTGAGTGAAAAAGGGAAAGTTTGTTATAGTTTGTTTCGAATTGAATTGAGGGAAAGGTTTAAATTAAGGGGCATGGTGGAAGTTGGATATTTAGATTAGGAGTGATTTTCGAAGTGATGGACCGATTAATCTTTTCTACGAAGAGGATTGAAATGAAAATAGCGGCGATATTTGGACGAGTAAAAACATAATGGATGGTGTATACTGTTGTACGTTATAGAATTTCGAAGAATCTTCCTGGTAAACAAAATATCGAAAAATACGAGACTCGATAAGTAAATATTTTGCTCGGCTTATTATCGTGGCCACGATCTTCAAATTTCAGCAACTGTCCAAAAATTACCTCTACGAAATTGTGAAAAAACTCTCGAGGCGTAAGTGTCAAGTTGCGAGAGCGGAGGAGAGATGAGAGGATCGAAAGGGCAAGGATCGCGATAGGATGGAGGAGGACCAGCGTGACAAAGGACCCCTCTCGATGATGCGTACACGGCCAATAAGCAAAGAACGGAGAAGGAACAGAGGGATGACACTCACCCAGTGCATGCCGGTGGTAGGAGGGGTGCGCTCCTCATACACTCCCATCAGGGTGGCTGCTGTCACGGGGTAGCTCCCGCCGAGGGTGCGCGACGCCGAAGCTGCTTGGGGGGGAGTCCCGGGGGATCCGCTTGCCGATAACGCGGAGATGGCGTCCGCTGCGCAAGTTCCCTTCTTCTGCCTCCTCTTCTTCTTCCTCCACCACCACCCTCAGCTCGGTTCACCCTCTCCTTCTTTCCTCGGCTCGAGGAACTTTTCAACACTCAACAACGTCACTGCCAACTCCGCCACTCTTTTGCTTACTCGAGTTTTGCTTACTTACTACTCGTAATTACGATCGCTATTGTGTTATATGGTATTTCCAAGGTATATAGGTGTACAGTCAGAGAGAGGATCCGGGACAGAACTGATTATTATCGATGTCGTCCGGTTGAGGAGAGGTTAAGTAAGCACGCCCTCACGGGCACATCTCGATGGAAATCGTATAACTTGGGGCCAACAGCTTACTCAGTCTCGGTCTTCTTGACGATGGAATGGCGCAAAACGCGGTATAACAGTCACGTTATCCGTAATAGTGTAAAAGTTACACCCCTCACTGTGTTACACAATCACTAAGGAAGAAGGTTCATCGACGCGGCGAGTCGGGGCGATTGGACGCAGTCCTGGAACGATCCTTCTTGATCCCTGGCTCCATCGTGAGATCACAAAGCACTAGGGCAATCGGACGAACGAAGCAGCAACACCCGGCTAGTTCGCGCACCTGCACTCGATTACTATCACCGTGTGTCCTGGTGTCCTTGGAGCATCGACAGCGCGAAGATCGATCTCCAGCTCGTGCTCTCCTTTTCTCGACGGGACGAAAAGGACGCGCGTCAGACCCGTTTCATGGCGCATGTGCCTCCGTGTGACGTTCCGGGACCGAGATACGACGATGACTACGACGACGACGAGGCAACGACGACGAGGCAACGACGACGACTACGACGACAACGACGACGACGACGACACGTCGGGAAGGACGATGCCAGAAAACGAGGTACGCGCGAGCACGATGCGCCACGGTAAATACAGACCCGTTTACCGTGTCGAAGCCGCGATGCGGAGTGAGGGAACCGGCACAGCTACAACTGGTTCCAGCCATAGGCAGCGCCGCATCGCGGTGGAACCGTGAAAACTGTCGTCACAAGGTGGGGCGGACACGGTTCCACGAAGGACCGCCCATCGGCACCCCTTCCCACGTTCACGGTGGAACGACAAGCCCCGCCCCGACACGAAACTCGATACCGTTCCTCCTTGTCTGTTCCTCGCCCTTCCCTCGTCCCTCCTTGTCTCGAGCACAGCGCTACTTTGCCGCACGCCTCTGCTCCAGAGAACCGTCTGCGCGAGAGAACAGAGCGACTCTGGCGCGGCACACAGTGGCGTAGGCAGCTATGTATACGCGGCTTTCGTAGAACGGAGACACTTTAAATTGGTGGCTCGGACGGCCGCGTTCTTTGGCGTTTTGTTATGTCACCGCGGAAATGAATGTATCGGGGATGTCGGAACGGGTAATGCCGAACGTTGCTCGCCCCGATCCGATCATTGTTCTTTCAAGGAGAGGTAATAATGTTAGATCGTAGAGAATGATACGGTTAGATATTCCAATGTTTTATATGCTCTTATAATTTCCTCCTCTCGTACACCTGTAATCGATCAAAGCGAAGCGTAAAAAGTAAGTTCTCGTTGTCAACGAGCCCATTAACCTCGTGGTAGGAAAGTGAACGAGATCAAAGTGTCAGGAGTACCTTGAACATGCCGAAACAGACACCTCGTTTCCGCGTCAAAATTGAAAGTCGACGGTCCGCACTGGGCCATTACCCTCGTTTTGCACGTATTTCGGGAGAAAAAAAGGTGGCAGTAACCATTCGGCCAACGATCCACTCAACCATCTGGCATTTGCATGAACAACCAATTTGCACGTTCAACCTCTCGTCACGCGACGTTTATACCGGTGATCGTCGCTTAACCGTGATTTCTTTTTTTTTTTTTTTGTTCACGAGAACACCGCGTTGCAATAGGAAGTCGAAGATAGATGGAGCTTAATTCGATCGAAGAATCCGAGAGGGATTCCAAAGTCAACGAGGCGGTCGTATCCGATTTTCTATAGTCTTTAGCGGATCTGAGCTTTTCTTATTTTGTCGATTCGACGAAACAATGACGGCCTTCGTCTTTTTACCCGCGTTCAGCCTTTTCTGCACAACACAGAGTTGGCTCGTCACTCTATTCGACGTTTTTCCACCAAAATTTTCTTATTCTTACCCTTAATATTTGCCCTTCGTGTCCATGATGACTACTGAAGCAACGGTGCACTGGACGATCAAAATACGGCTTCTCTTGTATTTGGCGAATCAACCCCTTTTAAATTCCAGAATATTGAATATATTTGAGAAGATGATGAATAATCTGGAAGCAAAGATATGGAAAGTTAAAATTATAGGAGGTATATAATGGTGATAACTTGAATATTGATGAAGTTGAATTGAATACATACATGTTGTCATAAATCTAAAAAATGAGGAACCGGATATCAATATGATCGAACAAAATGGAATACGTATTTCATTCATCATCGAAGGAGAATAAATGGGAGAAGACAGGTGTGAATATTGTCAAGACTCAACATTGTAGATGTATCATGCCGTAAGATTAATTACTAAAATATTCCGACGGTATGAATAAGTATAGAGCATATTTCTTCTCTCTCTTCTTTTTTTTTTTCTTTCTTTCTTATAAATTAGATCGTAGACAAGAATCGAATCATTTTTGTCCTCGATAATAATTAAATTGCTTCCTTCCTTCGAATTTTAACGAAAGCATTTTGAATAAATTTTGTATGTCGTTTTAAACGTTCCTTTAAAAGAAAAAAAAAAAATCATAATTCCCTTTCTGATTTTCTACGTAGATTAAATACAATGTCCTACTAGAAAGTGACAGAAACTGAATTCGGACAAACCGTGAAAGTTTCGTGACTTTTCACCTCCAAAACCAGAAATGAGTTATATATCATAACACAAAAGCGAAACTACGTGTAATTACAGAACGTAGAAAAAGAAAAGTAAAGAAGTGAAAACTTTCAATTCAAGACGACATTCAACCTCCAATAATACGCCTCACCTAATTTTCCTCGCCTTCCTTCGCAATTATCGATTCGAATTCTCTCGTAATCCGAATTCTCTCTCGAATAAGGGATCGATACATCGAAAATCGATATAACAAAAAGTTTCCGCTTCTCCTCGTTTTTCCTCCTCGTTGGCCAAGGTATAGCGCTTCCTTGGTCCGGTGTTGCGTGTTGGTGAAAAAACGACAGGTTTCAAGGAAGGAGCAGGGCGACATAGAGGCGGTCGGTGGACAGGAGAGGAGAGAGAAAGAGAAGGAAAGAAGAGAGGAGTGACCAGCTGAAACCGAACGACGACCGCCCGTCCGATATTCCGTCATAAAAAGGAACCGGTTTCATTTGCAACGTAGACGGAAACCGCTGCCAACGTCGTTCGGTGATGGAATTCGCGAATACGTCGATGATGGCCCCGTGTCGACGATTTTTACTACGATCTTACGGATAATCGAAGAGACGCGCATCTCTTGGAAAATCTCGTAGTAGAAAGAGTTATTAATCGTTAAATGCGGTGTCGTCGCATTTGGACGGATAGATTCTGCTTGGAAATCTCTTTCCAACAAAAATTTTAACGTCCGGTGATAAATCGTGAGTTTAAAATAAAGCGTGTTTAATTACCAAAATTAACGATAAAATTAATATTTAAACCAATTCGCATTTTTAGATCGAAGAACGAATTTTCATGCGGCGTTGACACGCAATTGAAGGACAGATGAAAATGGCAAAGAATGGAATGGAAAAGTAGCAACAACAAGTTTGAATTCTGACAACCCAGCCTTTTCCCTCAAACATTAATAGAACAGACTAACGAGACCTTGTTCCCGTGGAAAGTGGCGAGCATAAAACGAAAAGTGTTTCTTAAACAGCTCATTAGTTTCAACAATTCGCGAAACCATAAAAATTCTTATTTTTAACTATTTTCAACCGACTGCCTGCCCCCACCCTGCCGCCCCGAAAAGAATCGAAAAATTTTTCACTGTCGCCACCACCAGTGAAATTATACATTTAACAATATATACGCGTATATACCATAAAGAAACAGTTGGCGAGAAACTCGTCGTCGTCGTCGTAGTCGTCGACGTTGCAACAGAGAGCACGAGGTCGAAAGGGATACGTGGAAAGAAGATGGTCGATGGAAAAATAGAAACGGAGGAGGAGGAGAGCGGAGGGAAAAAAGGTGAGAGAAGGGGAGGGACGCTGTTAAGTTGACGCGTGAGTACTAAACACGCAGTGACGGTACAATGAAGAGCGGCGCCCCGCGGGGAATGGGGCCCCGCCCGTGGAGAAAAACCCCTCGAGAGTGTGGGGGTCTCGGCCAGACCGATGAAAGAGCCCATAGAGAAGGCCTGGAAACCTTGCGTTTCGGGGGTCACCGCGTGAAACCGCTTATACCTTCGGGATCAACGTAACCGGATGAACTGTTAAAATTTGTGTTCGTTCATTGATAGGTTGACAATACCGTCTTCCTAGGACCGTTCCTACCCCTCCCGCCAGTCCCCTACCGATTCTATTTGTTACGTTTCGCGTATAAATTGACCGATCACCACCCGTCCAAAATGTAACGCGAAACGTAATAAGTGTTTGTTATTGATATTCCGAAACGAAGGGATAACGAACGATGCTCGTGTTTAATAACCGTTATTCCCTTCCCGGCAATTTGTTGTTTCCTATTCTTTTCAGCGGCGATGGTGGAGGGTAGTACAAGTTTGCGGACTACCGTTTCAACGCTTTCGACGAAATTTGGCTTCGTTGTCGAAACAGTGATCGTTTGGAATTCGGCCGATTTGATCGTGATCAAAGTTCTTTTTTCACCGATGTAACAAACTGAACGCGAGCACGGTTCAGTTTTCCTCGCAGGGAAACTCGTTTCGAGAAGAAAGGATGAAGAAAAAAAAAAAAAAAAAGGAACGAGTCGGTAACGATCCCTTATATATCCCGCCTATTGTTAACGGCCGTTAAAAAACGGAACAGAATCAAAGAGGTACGTCGAACCTTGACCAACTTTTGCGCTCGCCTGTTCCCTCTCTCTCTCTCTCTCTCTCTCTGGATCATGGGGAACAGTTTCGCCCGCGATTCGAAATTATATTGAAGCGAGCAGAAAAGCTGGCGAGTGGCGTAATCGTGGGGAAACGAGCGAGGCGCAACGAAAATCTCGCCATGAAAAATCCGCTCGCGACTTCTGTTCTTTCCGCGTGTGCTCGACGAGAAACCATGCTCGAAGAAAAACGGGCGAGGCTTGAAACGAAGAAGGAGGGAATTAAGCGAGAGAGAGAGAGAGAGATTGAAAACGAGTGCTCGAAACACAGGAACAGCCGAGCTGTTTCCTTCATCTCCCCAGCTCCGTGAAAGTGCATTTTCC